AACTTTCCCCCCTTTGTATCCTAGAGCTAGGATGAAACCTTGGGAGAAAACCCCTATCAGTTTAAACCATGTCAGAAGGTAGCGCGTTTAGTACCTGTGGGAAAACTTAAATTTAAAAAAAGGAAGAGGGGGCCGGGCGCTGTGGTTCAAACCTGTAATCCCAGCGCTTCCGGAGGTCAAGGTGAGAAGATAGCCTGAGCTCAGGGAATCGAGACCAGCCTGGGCAACTTGGCGAGACCTTGTCTCTATAAGTCAAAAATTATCTGGGCGTGGTGGCTCATGCCTGTAGTTCCAGCTACTTGGAAGACTGAGGTGGCCAGCAGGTTGAGGCTGCGGTGGCCGTGAGTGTGCCACTGCACTCCAGCCTGGAAAACAGAGTGAGACTTCAACTCAAAAAAAGGGGGGGAGGGTAGAATGGCAGCTGCTTTCATTTGGGGGGCATTTTTAGTGACTTAAAGTTTAGAATGTGTCAATACAATTGAAAAAGATGAGTTTTAAGAATTTTAATTTTTAACTACCTGAATTGAGGGTTCCTACCCTGGTTGTTAGGTGTGGGACAAGAGAAAGCTCTGTTTTAGAGCTGCATTTTGATATAGGAGATGAGAAAGAAACCCTTGGTCATTAGAAATCACTGCTGAATATATAGAGACTTGAATCAGTAAAAAGTATGATTGAGTTCCAAGGTCGCAAGGCAATGATTAATTTGGACAGTACCGATATGGTACTTATTAAATAAAAATATTTCTTGGCACATTACCATTCTTGGTTAACAGTTATTAGATATGGGGTAATTCGTTAAACTTCTTTGTTTTATTTCATTTATTAGTTTATTTTGAGTCGAGTCTCAACTCTGTTACACAGGCTGGAGTGCAGTGGCACAAGCATGGTTACCACAGCCTTGACCTGCTGGGCTCGAAAGATCCTTCTGCCTTAGCCTTCCAAGTAACTGGAACTACAGGCACTTGCCATCGCACCCAGCCAATTTTTTGATATTTTTGTAGAGATGAGGTCTCATCAAGTTGCCCATCCAGGTCTTGAGCCTCTGGTCTTAAGCAATCTTCTTGCCTTCACCTCTCAAAGTACTGGGATTACAGGTGTGAGCCAGTGTGTCAGCTCTTTTTTTAAAATAGATTTTTTTTTTTTGAGTTGGAGTCTCACTCTGTCACCCAGACTGGAGTGCAGTGGCCGCTCCCGGCCACTGCAGCCTTGACCAGCTGGGCTCCGGCGATCCTTCCGCCTTAGCCTTCCAGGTAGCGCCTCAGCCTTCCAAGTAGCGCCTCAGCCTTCCAAGTAGCTGGAACTACAGGCGCGCGCTACCTCACCCAGCTAATTTTTTGATTTATTGTAGAGATAAGGTCTTGCCAAGTTGCCCAGGCAGGTCTTGAACCCGCAGGCTCAGGCAATCCACTCACCTCAGCCTCTCAAAGGCGTGGGATTACAGGCTGAGCCACCGAGCCCGGCAGCTTTTTTTTTTTTTTTACTTCATTTTCACTTAGGTACTTCATACCAGTTAGTTAAAATACTTGACTTATATTCATTACATTTTTTAAGGAGCCATATTTCTCTATCATTTGTGTTTTTCTACTTTCTTTTTAATGTTTCTACTTTTATAACTATTTCAGAGATCCCGGATTCAGGTGTGGCTTTATGAGCAAGTGAATATGCGGATAGAGGGCTGTATCATTGTGAGTATCTAGGCTATTTTATCTCAGAGCAATTTGTTTATAAAATATGATTTCACAGAAAATGTCCAGCCAAATTAATTTACAAAAAATCAGAGGTTCAACCCAAGGAAAGTATTCCAGGGCCCATTTTTAGCCTTTTTTTCACTGTTGTGGTTAATGGGGATTGAGTAATTTCAAAAAAGAGTGAAAGTTAACTTTAAAAAATTAGTTTAACAATAATAATAATATTGGGAGGAAGGGATTAAAAATGAAATTGGTAGCCGGGCTCGGTGGCTCAGCCCGTAATCCCGCGCCTTTGGGAGACTGAAATGAATGGATTGCCTGAGCCCACAGGTTCGAGACCCGCCTGGGCAGCGAGACCTCATCTCTACAATAAATCAAAAAATCAGCCGGGCATGGTAGCACATGCCTGTAATTCCGCCTACTCGGAAGGCTGAGCCAGAAGGATTGCCGGAGCCCAGCAGGTCGAGGCGGCGGTGGCCGGGAGCGGCCACTGCACTCCAGTCTGGGCGACAGAGTGAGACTCCAACTCAAAAAAAAAAAATGAAATTGGTTATGTGACAATAATAGAGTATTTGCTCAGGGTTAGGTGATAACTAAATAGAGCTGCGTGGGGTTAAAGTAACCTTCCAGGATAGCAGGATAACCTAAGTTAAGTTTTTAAGGAAAGATAAAATATGGCTAGAAGTATTATGTTAGGACACTTTGGTATTCCACTTAGACACCAGGGATTGCATCAATAATCTCTTCACCACTTACCAATCGGAACACAAGCATGGTAGGTAGTGTATATGTTTTGTGGAGAAGATGAGAAATGCAGTGGCAGTAGCAGGTGATTCATTCAATGGATACTCATACTCTTTATTGGACAGATTATAAAAGATAAGAGAGTGGCTTATTGATATGTCTAATGAAATCCAAAAGGTTGAAGAAGTGATTTGGGCTACATTCTGGCTTGCTTTGTTACTAAAAAGAAGCTTTGGGAAGAAGGCAGTATTTTAGTAGAATGATTAGTAGAGGTGAATTTCTGAAGTTAGTTGGCATTTTTGTATTTAGGTATACTCTTTTAGAGTGATTTGGATGTGATTTTGCTTGAAGATAACAGCCAATTGGCTTATTTTTCTAGGGCTTTGATGAGTATATGAACCTTGTATTAGATGATGCAGAAGAGATTCATTCTAAAACAAAGTCAAGAAAACAACTGGGTAAGAATATGAATGGTCTCATAGAGTTCTAGAAATGTTTATTCACTTGTAGAATTCAATGACCTGTAACAATCACATTTAAATTTAATTTGCATTTGAGAAGTTATTGTGGGGGGGTAGTACACTTTTGGAATCATCCTCACCATAGTCCATTTCTGCTTCTTCACCCAGACAGTTCTCACCAAGGTCACCAGACTAAGGTGTTAAATCTAATGATCAATATTAGTTCTCATTTTATATAACTCCAGACAGTATTAAGTCACTCCCTTCTTATAACACTTTTTATAAACAGGCAAAGAAAGAATAAAAAATACTCTGTTGCCTTTTCTGAGTGGGTGGAGGAGACAAAATGAGACTGGGTGCAGCAGCTCATACCTGTAATCCCAACACTTGGGGAGGCCAAGGTGGGTAGATCACTTGAAGCCAGGAGTTCAAGAGAAATGAGCAGCATAGTGAGATCACTACTCAACAAAAAATACAAAAATTAGCTGGGTGTGGTGGCACAGGCCTGTAATCCCAGCTCCTCAAGAGGCTGAAGTGAGAGGATCACTTGAACCCAGGAGTTCAAAGATGTAGTGAGCTATGATTGAGATTGCCACTGCACTCCAGTCTGAGCGACAGGGGAAGACCCTGTCTCAGAAAAAAACAAAGTGATTTTTCTATTCCTTCACTCAACAACAAACAGAAGACTTCTGTGACCAGATGTGAGAGGGTATTTCCCCATACACCAAGCAAGCAATCGAGTTTGCAGTGGACACCAGCTTAGAGTCCTCTAATTCATTTGTCAAATCTGACATTATCTCCAGATAGTGTCAGATCCCATAGGTTGAGGGCTCAGTCCCCAAGACTTCTCCCTGGTGCCCAAACGTCAGTAGCAAGTTCTAGGTTGTTTTTCCTGTGCCTTCTGACTGGCTATAAACTGGGGCCCATAACTCCCTCCTTGGGTTTGATAAATTTGCTACAGTAGCTCACAGAACTCAGAAACATGTTAACAGATTTATTATAAAGGATATCGCAAAGGATACAGGTAAAGAGATGCATAGGATAAGGCATGTGGAAAGGGTTGCAGGGCTTTCGTGCCCTTTCTGGGCTTGCCATTCCCCAGGAATCTCCACATATTTGGCTGTCAGAACCCTGTCCTTTTGAGTTTTTATGGAGGCTTTATTACATAGGCATGACGAATTAAACCATTTTTCATTGCTGTTTAACTTAGCCTTCAGTCCCTTTTCTCCCAAGGTTGAAAGGTGGGGCTGAAAGTCCCAACTCTCTAATCCTGCCTTGGATCTTCCAGTGACCAGTCCCCATCCTGAAGCTTCCTAGAGGCTACTGGCCATCAGTTGACTCATTAGCATTTAAAAGACATCACCTTGGAGAGTCTAAGGATCTTAGGCATTGTATGTCAGGATATGGGGTCCTGATATTTTCTTAAAGACCAAATATTGTATTTTACAGTATCACATCTTGGCTTTGTGATACTAAATTCTGGTTTTCATTTTTCATTTCTGGTTACTCCTTTTCAGACTTTTGCATATTCATTATTTGGGACCTAGCTATTAAATGTTTGGGTTTCTCACGGCTTGATTCTAGGCCCTTCTGTCGCTCAGTATTATCTTCCTAGGTACTCAAGACTATAACTTAATTACCATCTGTGTATTGACTCCCAGATTTATAATTATAGCCCAGACCTCTCCTCTGAGCCTATTCCCATTTCTACATGAGTGCCTTAAAAACTCCTCAAAGTTGGCTGGGCTTGGTGGCTCAGCCTGTAATCCCGCACTTTGGGAGGCCGAGGTGAGTGAATTGCCTGAGCCCGCGGTTTTGAGACCCGCCTGGGCAACTTGGCGAGACCTCATCTCTACATAAATCAAAAAAATTAGCCGGGCGTGGGAGCGCGCACCTGTAGTTCCAGCTACTTGGAAGGCTGAGGCGAAAGGATCGCCGGAGCCCAGCAGGTCGAGGCTGTAGTAGCCAGGAGCGGCCACTGTACTCCAGACTGGGCGACTGAGTGAGACTCCAACAACAACAAAAAAAAAGTTCCTTGAAGTCATGTATCAGAAATCAAATTCACTTCATGCTACTTAGAGTTAATAGAAACACCATTTAGTGTTTCCTGACTTACTGAATGGCACCAATTTCCATTCAGCTTATTAACTGATTTCTCTGCAACTACATTATCTCCTCCCCCCCCGCCCACCCATCCAGTTTGCTCTCCAGGCTTCAGTCATCTTTTAAAAACAACAGTCTGTGTCATTCCTTTGCTTGAAATTTTTCAATGATTTCATGTTTCTCTTAGGGTAAAAAAAAATATTCTGCAAGGTCCTTTATAGTCTGGTTTTAACCTCCTTCTGCTCATCTTGTATCACTTTGCCTCACTTTCTGAGCTTCAGCCACACTTCTTTCAGTTCTGTGAATTTGCCCCACCATTAATCTTTGTATAGTATATGCTGTTTCATGTGTCTTTAGAACTCAGATCAAATATCACTTCCCCTAAGAAGCCCAGAGTTTAATTTGGTTTGAGTGGGGATGGGGGAGAGCAATGATGTCCTTTCTGAGTTTGCAGTAAGTTGTTTATTATTGTGGTTATTTTATTAATGTCTCTGCCATTAGATCAAGTACTCCTAAGTATTGTTCCCTAATAGGTTCAGTGCCTAACTCAATGCCTAGCACACAGTAGAAACTCAAAAATATTTGAACAATGAATTAAACGTCTTAACCCAACGAATAAGGGGTCTTAGATTCGTGGTTTCACAAGACACACTGAATCATTTCTGCTAACATCCCATTAGCTTGAGATTTATTTAGCCTTTTTGCCTTTTTTTGTTAAATGTTCAGTTCACAAATCACTAGTACTCAGTTGTAGGCTTTGGGTGTCTCCTTATTTCATGCCTTGGTGATTCTCTTGAGCCTGTACTAGACATCTGGAAAATAAATTCTGAGAGCATGATGCTTTGCTGTGCTTTTATGATTGCCTGGGTTTTTCAGATTTAAAGATGTCTTGCCAAGAAGGGCAAGCTTGGCCTTACTGAGGTCACTGCATCCTCAGACTCCTGGGCTCAAGCCATCCTCCAGCCTCAATCTGCCAAGTAGTTGGGACTATAGGCACATGTCACCATGCCCAGCAATTTTTTTATTTTATTTTTTTGTAGAAACAGGGTCTCACTAAGTTACCTAGGTTGGTCTTGAACTGCTGGACTCAAGTGATTCTCCTTCCTTGACCTCCCAAAGAGCTGGGATTACAGGCACAAGCCCCAGGCCTGGCTGAAGTCATATTATTTGTGTTATTTGTCAAGTGTTGAAATCCCATGGTAGCATTCATCCTGTAGAATATAAGAAGAAGATTGGGAAAGTAAACAGTTTAATAACTATTGGAATTGATTATAGTTTCTCAAAGTGTTCTACCAGTGTTACTGAAGATGTTTATAGATATTTCTCAGGAAAAAAAGTATTAATTTAAATGTTGGGTAAAACTGAAACAGGTTTATTTATCGAGGAGGGGATCTTTAATATACTAACAGCTTTAAGAATGGGGTTATAGCCGGGCTCGGTGGCTCAGCCTATAATCCCGTGCCTTTGGGAGGCTGAGGTGAGTGGATTGCCTGAACCCGCTGGTTCGAGACCCGCCTGG